TTTACATGATTGACCCTGGAGAATACATGAGAGAAATCATACAGCTGATAAACCCCTTTAGCAAAGTAGCTGGATACAAAATCAATTAAAGAAAATAAGTAGTTCCCTTTTATATAAACTATATATGGGCTAAGAAAGAAATTAGGAAAACAACAGCCTTTACAATAGCTACAAATAATATAAAATATCTTGATGTACTGTAACCAAGAAAGTGAACATCTTGTATGGCAAGAACTATAAGTGACTAAAGAAAGAAATTGAGGAAGATATCAGAAGATAGAAAGATCTCCCATGTTCATGGATTGATTGGATTAACATATTAAAAATGGACATTTTACCAAAAGTAATCTACAGATTCCATGAAATTCCCATAAATATTCCAACACATTTATTTATAGATCTTGAAAGAGCAATTTTCAACTTTATATTGGAAACTTAAAAACAAACAAACAAAAACACACAGGATAGCTACAACAATACTGTACAATAGAAGACTTTTTAGAGGTATCACCATTCATGATTTCAAGCTGTACCTCAAAGTAATAGTAACAAAAATTGCATGGCAAAGAAACAAACATGTTCATCATTTGATTAGAATAAAAAACACAGAAACAAACCCACACATTTATGGATACTTGATATTTGACAAAGTCAAAATCATCAAAGGAAAATAAAAACATTCAACAAATGGTGTTGGTATAACTGGATTTCTGCATATCCTATAGAAGCATACAAATAGATCCACATCTATTGCCCTGAGCAAAACTCATGTCCAAATGGATCAAAGACATCAACATAAAACTGGACACTCTAAATCTAATAGAAGAGTAATCAGAGATCTGCATGGAACTCATTGTCACAAGAGACAAATTCTTCAAAAGAATACCAATAGTTAAGTCACTACGATCAGTATTTAATAAATGTGATCTCATGGAACTGAAAAGCTTTGCAAGGTTAAGGACACCATCAGTAGGACAAAACAGCAGCCTACAAAGTGAGTAAAGATCTTGACCAACACTAATTCTGATAGAGGAATAATATACAAAATATATAACTAACTCAAAAATTAGAAATTAACAAGCCAAACAATCAAATTAAAAATGGGATAAATAGCTAAACAGAGAATTTCCAACAAAGTAATCTCTAATGGCTGAGAAGCACCAAGCAAATGGGGAAACCTGGTAGTGTATGTGTGGGTGTGTGGGTGTGCAGGTGTGAGGACAGTGTTTATTGCTGCACCATTCACAAAAACTAAGATATAGAACCAGTTAGATGTCCACCAATAGATTACTATTGTGGTACATATGTACAATGGAATTTTTATTTATCTGTAATAAAGATGAAATTATGTAATTTGAAGGAGCATAATGTTGAAAATCATCAGGAGAAGCAGAATAAGTCAAACTCATAAAGTCAAACACTGAAGGTTTTCTCTCATGTGGTTCAAGGTTGACATACCTTATAGATATATAGGGGTGTAAAACAAAAAAAAATAGAATGGTGTTCACTAAGGGTGGAAAAAGTTGTAAAAGGAGAGGGAAAGAGGGAACAGGAAACTAGAGTGGAAGATAAAACACGTGAAAGTAGAGGGATATTTTGGAAGGAGGAATGGAACTAGTCAGAGTAGATGAGGGTTGTAAGAGGGCTGTGGGCATGAAGTATGATGGTTAAAAGGTGAATAGTTTGAAACATCATAGCAAACTCATTATTTTGTAGACTAAGTTAAAATTAATTTAAAGTAAGCTCAAATATCAAAAATTTTAAAGAAAAGAATTGTAGCAACCATGCTTATCAAGCAACAAATGTTTTGTTTTATAATACAGATGAATTAACTTGGTCATGTGGTTCAAGCTTGTAATAGATGTAGGCTGGAAGATCAAGATTTCAAGGCCAGCTTGAGGAATATAAGAAACCCAAGGCTAGCTGGTGTTACAAGAGACCTCTTAAAAGCAAAACAATAAGCAAAACCCCTAGAACTAGATAAGAAGTAAAAATATGTGGGTTTGTTATAATTTTTGTGTAGTAGCTGGATGGAAAGTGTAAATATTTCTGTGGGCTGCAGACTACTCCTAAAAAATTAATAAATAGATAACTACAAAAAATTGATATTGTTTTAACGGCAACATAAAAGAATAAAACATACAGAGAAAAGTAACTCAAAATAAAATCTTAAAAGATGTACTTAAAGTAAGGTAGTAAATCATTTTAACATGTCTCCATTAAAGATCTTAAAAATGCTGAGTTTCAACAAAGCAATATCATCATAATAGTATTATACATGGTTTAACTTTTTATACTACTTAGTTTTTTAGAATAAAGAAGAAGTTACTGTTAACTGAGCAATACTAAAAGATGCAGGACATCTTTTTCTTGCTTTCAGCATAAGTCTCTAAATGATTTTTTGGTTTTCAAATTTTTAAATTATTTTTGAGATTATAATTACATAATTTCTGCTATCTTCTTCCTCCTGGCAAGCTTTTTCATATGTCTATCCTTGCTCTCTTTCAAATTTATGATCTATTTTCCTTTTTAATGTTATTATAAATATTTGTGTTTGAATTACACTTATATGCGTATATATACACAAAAAAGATTGCCATATGTATTCATTCCTAAAAACATGAACATGACCAATCTGGTCCATAGAGTAACATTTGTAGATTTTTTAGGGTTGATGATTATTGATTAGTTATAGCAATTCTTTTTCACTGTTGACAGTAAAGGGAGATATATGAGAACATTCATAAGAATAATCATCAAGATAATGTCAGAGGGCAAGAATGAACTGCAACATCCCACTTTTATTAGTAATCATATATCTTTAGAAGAAAAAAAGTCAATGAAATATTTTTCTTCATGTTGTAAATAATCAAACATTAAACATTTAGTTGTTTATATTGGCTTCTTTGTAGACTGAAAGATCCTGAAATAATTATATCTGTGTGGTTCTCATTAAGGTTATACTATGATAATGGTAGAATAATGGGAGATTTTGTAGTTTTAAAACTGATATTTTCCCCTAATATATTTTTATATTATTTTCAATAACTCTTTTGCTCAAATGAAATAATTTATAAATGATTTTCAATATCATCATACTAGAACTGAAACTTTAAATACATTAATTAAAATGTTAATATTTTTGTTTTGTTTTTAGTGGGGAAAATTTCTTTACTTATTTCTCACTCTATCATGAATACCTTTCATGAAGCATCATCCCAAATTAAACTGGGTTGATTTTGTTCTTGATTTATAGAACCAACATCAACATATTATCACTATAGAGGATGTTGATGCAAGCTGGACAGAATAGGAATTGCAATCTCAATTTACTTTGCCTATAAATATAAGTACTTGTAATATTTACCACTGACTTGAAACTTTCTGCTGTTGTCCATATCAGATCCTGCAGGCAACTTGCTTACTGATTATCTGCTCTCTCTAACTCAGCATTGTCATTACAGTTTCCAGAAATTCCAAATGCTGTTTCCTAGAGTAGCCATGCAGTATTACAGCTACAGTTCAGTGACTCACAGTCAAGTGGACTCGTAGTGTCCCTCCTAGTGAAACTTCTCAGAGCTCAAGAAGAACATAAGATTCCTCTTCGTGCTCTGGTATATTTCTGATAATTATTTGGACTGCCACTCAGAAAATTCACCCTAGAATTTTATCTGTTCATACTGACTCATACAGTTCAAAACTTATTAAATTTATTGAAACTCAAAAAGTCTTAGAAAGTCATATACAAATATAAATTAACAAAGCAAATACAGAATAATCACCACTGGGAAAATATTTACATGCTAAAAACATTATTTTCTTATTCAGTTAATAGCAGAGCAAAGCTTAGGCATTTATGCATCATGATACAATGAAATGCTATAACATACTGATTGTCCTTATTACATGTAGGCTCATTTTTAAGCTTTGACCTTTTTATTTAATATTACATGGCTGTCTTCAGATAGTTCAGACAATGAGATAAGAATACTTTTATTCCTGCCCATCATGTTAAAGTTTGTCTCTAACTACATCAATAGGTTGGCAGCCAAAGTACACGACTTGAAACTGAAAATTTCAGTTACTAATCAGACAGAGTTACTAATTTAATAGGCTGGCAAGCCAAGGACTGGTAAGATTCTGCACAGAGTCTTCCCAACCTAAGACAGAAGTGCATTGCTTTTGATAATGTGTTTTCCATGACAGGTAAGGAAGGCATTCTTGTCAGAATGACCTAAGACAGGATCAGTCTGGTTTATGTAATAAAAAGGGAGAGATGTGGAGAGCTTTTGGGGCTGCCTGGCAGGAAGCTGACATGGGCCAAGGACAAAGAAATGGACTGCAGGCAGGAATCTGACATTAGGCTGGAACAAAGAAGCAATTTCAGGCAGAAATCTAAATCCTAGGATAGAACAAAGAAGAAATTTTAGGCAGGAATCTAAATCTTAGGCTAGAAAAAGGAAATAACTAGAGGCAGCAATCTAAATCTTAAGCTAGAACAAAGAAGTAGGCTTCAGGCATCAAAATGAATCGGGCTAGGACAGGAAAGTAGGCTTAGATATTTTGGTCATCTTGATAAGCCCTTAGAAATCGTGATCACAGGACTCTATTGTTCTTTGACTATCTGGGTTTATTGCCTTGCTTGTTCCTTGACTATTTGCGTCTCTTTTATTGCTAGTTCCTCAACCTAGAACTGACCTCAATACTTGCATGTAATTTAAATAATAAAAAAGCAAAAAAGGAGGAGGAAGAGGGATGGGATAGGGGATTAATGTGTGTGTGTGGGGGAGAGGATTACATCTGAAATATAAATAAATAAAATATTGAATTAAAATTAAAAAAATAAATAAAAGGAAGGCTTTAGCTTAAAAAAAGAATAATACATTGTTTATTGGATGCCTACTTGTTCTTTCATTGTTGGCATATATACATGGATGGTTTGAACAGCATTCCTCCTTTCTCACCCCCAAAGAAGGAGCTGACAACAAAAGGCTGAGTACCTGGTTACCTCCCATGCCGTGACAGTTGAATATACCCACTTTTTCATTTTCTTTGCGGCCCATGTTATCTAAGCATTGATTGGTTTCAACATTTCGTATCTAAAAAAAACACAGAAAAATGGGAGAGTTAAACAAATCTAAATACATAAGACATAAACTTATTCTGTTGTCCATGAATTACAGATTGTTTATGAAATAATACAAATTTGTAAGAAAATGCCTCTAGAAATATGTTTTAACTGTTGCTTTCTCTTTTTGTATTTATGATTAGTCTTAAATTTACTTCTAAACTCTACCAAGTTTGAATTGGAACAATGTTAGGTTTGAAATTAGCATCTAATCATGAAATGAGAAAAACACTCTGCCATAAACATACTTTGAAACATTGGGATATTTTGAAATTCCATAAAGATTAATCAGAATTTAAAGTGCATAGAATAATATATAAAAATAAAAATAAATTGGATTTGTACTTGAGTCAATATTTTTAGATATCTACATCATATACTCTATCTTGTTCATAATAAATGTGATTATTTACATTGTTTCTGTGACTAAGACACACTTGTTCACTTTCTTTGATTCTTTGATGCTAAACTTAACAGAAAGGTTTTATAATAAAAAGCAGTTACAATATAAATGCCATATAATATTGAAGTTTCCTTAAAAATAAGATTACGTTTCCAATTATAGATATAGAGCCTTCATTTATAAACCAGTATTGACATTTTGTCCACAATTAACATAAAGTTACAAATTTGAGCGTAATGTAACTCAAAAAGATATTTATTAAAATTAAAGATGCTAACATTTATAAATTATACATAAGCTGTTATAAAAAGAACTGGCTAGAGCAATACCTCTATTAAGTGATATATTTTTAAATCATTCTCCATATTCAACACACAAGCACCTATTTAGAATTATCTACCCTGCTTCTGAGAATTCTGTACTTTTGTTCCATATAAAGAAATATGCATCTTTATTGTACACTGTGAAATTACCTAGATATTGTATTTCTACACGGTTATTATGGATTGGATATAAAACTCTTCCTTTTTAGAAATTAATAAAATTAGAGATGATGGATATAATTTTGTAGAAGACAAATGTGCTGTATATGATTCAATGTTTCTATTTTGTGAGTATTATGGCTACATGGTGCTTCCGGGGAGTGAGAAACAAATCATTTTATTTGCAGTTAAACCTCAAAGAGGAAATATGAGCAGTTGTGATTTTACTGGGTGAGTGGTGGAAGCGTTTAGAGATTTTCAAACCCTATTTCAATGGATGATATTTAGTTCAGAGTTACAGACATGTTCATCAAGAAATCTATATAACAACCTCCACAGACTGGGCAGAAAACACAGTGTTTATTGCACTGAGAACATCTAGGCTTCTGGAAGTATACCAAAGGTGGTATAGTGTTGAATTGTGTTCTCGGGCTGATGAAAGTTGTTTGAGAACTGAGCCTATAGACAAGTCTTTTTCAAGACTAGCACATATGTAGCAGATGTGCAGCTTGATCTTCATGTAGGACCTGAACAACTGGAGCGGCAGCTATCCCAAAAGCTGTTGCCTGTGTGTTGGATAAGTTCTTCTAGCTGGCCTGCCATTTCTGGCCTCAGGTGGAGAAGATCCGCCTAGCCTCACAGAGACTTGATGTGCCAGGGTGGGCAGATACCCAGGGCAGACCTCACCTACTCATAGGAGAAGGGGATGGCGAATGGAGAGCGATTGAGGGAAGAGGTGGGTGAGAGGGGGACAGTAAGAGAGATGTAAAGTGAATAAGTAAAAATGTATAATAATAATAATAATAATAGAACTAGCACATGAACAAAAATAATGAAGGGAATTTTTTTTAGAATGTGTCAATTTGTTAAAAAGTTGGATATCTACAAAGTTCATGGCACTTGAACAAATACTAAGTAAAATTTACAGTATTATATGTTAAGTCATCTGTAAGGCTTTAAAATCAATGTCCTTATTTTCCTCTTGACTTTTCTTACCTCGGCTGAATACTTACTAAGTTGTGTGCTTGTTGATCTATGTATTCTGACTTCACAGAATAAGTACTACCCAACTTTTCTTTTAAAGTAATTCATTAAGCAAATTATTATTGTGTGGCAGCCATATTTAATCCACTTTTCAAGTATGTTAGTTTGAAAGGGGCATTTTGAAGCTATCCCCATGAATCAGTAGCAATAGAAAATGTTCTCTTATTTTGTGTGGATCATTTCAGATTTTAGTATAAAATGATTGCTATTGTCCTTTTTTGTTTATCTTTAAACTTAAAATGGCATGTAATTAGGACATTTTAAGCATTTTGATATTTATATAAAAGGAATTCTGGTAGTTAATATACCCAGGTGCTCACCAAAGTACCATATGTAACTCTATGTAACATATACAGAGAGTTTTACAACCGATCTGTTTTCACTCATTTATAATCAGTAGAAGCAACTAGATATTGTCTAGATATTTAGGCAGCCCTGATTTGAGTATGTAACTTATAATTGAATTCAGTCCCCTAGTTTTATATTACGCTATTAGAATTTTTCTGGCAAGGAGTATGAGTCCCTTGTTTTTCTCTGAGCAGCTTCTGGACCCTGAGTTCCCTTTGCCGTCTGAAGATGACACTGCAGTCAGAACGATGTACTGCTGATAAAAGCTCTGGTAGCAATAAAATGTTGTTCGTAATAAAAAAAATCGCAAAGCATATATTCTTCATTGCAAAACCTGATAGTAGCATTTTAAAAAGATATTAAATAGGCACTTGACATTTGACTCTGATAAATTGGGTTCAAATTTTGAAAAAGAGCCTCCAAGTTTGGTACTGAGCAAGTATTTGAATGCCTACTTTAATTTAGGTATGTTGTGATTTTATTTGTGAATAAATGACAATAACAAAATAATAATATATTAATGCCTAAAATATATTATCCATGGTAACAATGTATTATTGATCTACCATCTATGACATATACATATAACCATTGAACTGATCATGGAGTTCCCAATGGAGGAGTGAGAGAGGAGACTGAAGGAGCTGAAAGGGATTGCAGCTCTATGGGGAGAGCAAGAATACCAACCAACCAGAGCACCCAGGGTCTAAACCATCAGCCTGGGAGCACATAGGGAGACACCCATGGCTCTAGCTGTATATAGAGAGCAGGATGGCCTTGTTGTGCACAGGCGGGAGAGGAGATCCTTGATCCCATGAAGGCTGGACGCCCAGTGGGGGAGTGAGTTCGAGTGTGGGGAGGTGGGAGTGGGGGGCCGTGTGGGACACATCCTCATAGAAGCAGGAGGAGGGAGAATAGAATAGGAGTTTCCTCAGCGAGGGAAATAGGGTAAGGGGATAACATCTGAAATGTAAATATAATATCAAAAAAATGACAGAGAGCATTAAAAATATATTCATAGTATGTCAGAAGATTAAAATTTCCTATGGGAGAAGAATAATTACTGTCTCCCAAGAATAAGTCTCTCCATTAGTTATTCAATACAGAATGATCAGCCCTAAAGACATGTACACATAAGCCATACTAAACAGAATCACAGTATTATATGTATGTATTTATTCATATGCATGTAATCTTAATAGCCAAAGGAAAAGAGACCATCAATATGAGAATGCCATAGTGGGATTAGAGGGAGGAAGAGAAATGGGAAAGCAATGAATTATGTTTTACTCTAAATAGCATTATTGAGCATAACTCAAGGAGACAGTCCTGAAAATCGAATTCTTATTGGGAAAAGTAACCGTATAAAACATAATTTTTTATAATAAATAGGAATTTATAATAAGAAATAAGGTATTTAGAAGCAAAAGACTGATTAGATTTTAAATAAGTAAAGAAAACTTGATATCCAGGAAAACACATTCTTGTAAAATTAAAGTGTAACAAACCAAATTATCATTCAACTTTTCAATGTATGCAAAGCCAGGTTGCTAACCAAAAACTTTGGATTTACCAACTTGATTTTCAAATACAAATACCACTAAGGTCGCAACATACATGAATTTAGGATATTGTTCTCAGTAAATGAGGGCATATTTGTTCATTTTTAGGGACTCAATTTGGGAGATCTTGTGGTGTATATTTTGCTTCCTGCATCATATTCAAGCTTTTGGAAGTTCTTCTGGTTCCGTGAATGCTGTGGGTTAAGTCTACCATAATTTACCTCCTGATCTCCACTATTGTCTTCTGCTCTAAATACCCGCTGCTCTTCTTGAGATTATGGCAGCAGAAAAATACTTTCATTCTGGCTCCCTGTCTTGTTTCTAATTCACTACCAGCAGCAAAAGTGAGGTTTTACTGTGCATGAATATCCTAAGAACACAGGATTAATTCAAGACTAAATAATGCATGGCCTTCTGCTTGCCCACTCTTCTATGACTACAGCTGCTAATCAATTATTATGGTATTCTGTAACTTGGTGGGGAAGATGTCTGTCATTCTACCTTCTTTTCTCCTTTTAAAATTAAAATGGCTTGTTCTTTTAAGACTATGGATTATGTTTCATCAATTGTTAGGCAATTATTTCTGAGAATATTTTCCATTTCATATTTTTAGTTTCCTATACTTTAATGACACTTCTTAGAGCTTTGCTAAATTTGAATATTAATGTTTTTTCTAGATTACAGTTCACAGTGTTTATCTTATATTTTAGTTTCTTTTTAATGATTAGTTTTTAACTAAAATTTCAATATGTTTGTATTATCTATAATGGTATATATTTCCAGGTTTTACAGTCATTTAATATTCATTCCTTTGTATAATTTGTTGAAAATTATTTCTTGTTTCTTTGCATGAATCCTATTTTCTTCAGTAGGAAGGTTGATTGGGGCCATTTTCTACTTCAGATTGAGAACTGTCTTCTCTGTACTTTTAAAGATTGTTAATTAAAAGGTTTCTACTATGTTTTATAATCTCTTAGTTTTTTGGTTTTGTTTTGTTTTGTTAGTCAGAAACTTGATTTTCCCCCTCTGACCTTACCTTTAGACTTTGGTTTCATTCTCTGTTTTTTTCTTAAAGGGGCGGGGAGGGGAGTTCATAAAGTAAGCTTCAAGAATCCACAGGAAACAGGACGCT